CACTCCTCCTCCTCAGTCCTCGTCTCCTCACTCTCCTCTTTTTTTTTTCTGTTTTCTCCTCCTTGCGCTGCCATGCTCCTCTCCTGTCCACCCATGTCAAAGCAAAAATCCAAGACCTGCCACATTCCACATTCATGTAGGAGAGTCTCTCTTAAAACATTTCCTCCTCCCCCGTTTGATTCCTCTTTCCCCTTCCGTTTCGTCGCTTCTTTTCCCCAGGTCGCCCTGCTCTCACCGCGCCGCTCCGCCTCCTACCACTCACTTACCGCCCAGTGTAATCCTTCTTCTCTCCTCTCTTATCCCTGCCCCTCTTCCTCATCACCCTCATCTCTTTTTTCCGCCTTCCCCCCTACTACACTGTTTCCCGTGTTCCGCTCTCCTGCCCTAATGCCTTTCGTCCATTTCCTTTCAACTCTCCTCTTCCCCCTCGCACCTCCTACCGTCCTTCCTCTCTCCTTCCTACTCCCTCGTCGCACCAAGTACCTTCCGCTTCCACTCTTCACCTCCTCCCTCACACTGCTTCCCAATCCTGCTCCCGTCTCCCTCTTCCTTCTCCCGGACTCTAGTCCAGCGAATCCGTTCCTTTTTCCTCTTGCGCATCAGCGCCTCCCGCCTTACCTCTTCCCCTCGCCCTCCTCCCTCCCGTGAGCCTCCCCCTTCCGCTCCCTCGCTCCCTTCCCATCACCCATCTCTGTGCCATACCCTTTTCCTCCCTCTCTCCGTCCTCCGGCTTCCTTCCCTCCGCGTCTCCCCTTCCCTTGCTCGCCTCCCCTTCCGCTCCCTCACCTCACCTCATCCTCTAGCTTCCTCCACCCTTCCCTCTGCCGCCGCTCAGTACTTCCTTCCTCTGTCCCCTCCGCCTCCTTCGCCTCTGCATGGGCGCGCTTAACCTTGCTTCTCCCATCCTTGCCCTTCCCTTCTCTCCCTCTCCCTTACACTTCCTCCCCTTAGCCTCCCTTCTCCCCTCTGCTCCCGCATATTGCTTATTCTTGCTACTCTTAATATCCCACTCCTTGTCCTATTTCACGATTTTATTTTAAACGCAATCCGCCTTGTGCAAATGTGAGGTTAACTTGTCACGGTTCGGGGCTTGCAGGTGATAGAGGAAGGACGCCTTGTTAGGGAAGGCGGGCGGTGGCGCTGGGCTTTGAATGGGGTAGTCGTAAGACAACTTGGATTATTTTTCATTTTTAAGTTACCTGCACTTTTTTTTCTTGCTTTTGGGGCGGGATCTTTTAATTTTTCTCTACTTTTTTTTTTGGGGGGGGGGAGATGGGTGGGAGGGGGGAAATCTTTTTTTTTTTGGCACTTTTTTTTTTTTCTTTATTGTGTTTTGCGACGAGAAGTTTGGGTTACCATAGTGATATAATGAGTGGTAAGTTAGTCTCCTCGGGAATCTGGTTCTGTATCTCTCTTCTTTTTCTCTTTCTCATTCTCTCTCTATCTATCGTATCTATCTCTCTTCTATTTCCTCTCTATTTCTCTCTCCCTCCCTTCTCTCTCCCTCTCTCCCTCTCTCCCTCTCCTCCCTCTCTCCTTCGTATCTATCTACTATTTTCATCCCTTCCACCACGGTGTATAATCAGCAAGCACACAAGGAGGTTGTTACGGAACTCGCAAAGCGGCTCTATGGATCGCGCTGCACTTGCTCGCTTGCAGAAACACCGGCGCTCGATGTGGCCTTTTGTGCTTGGGCCGAGATGAGGGGGGGGAGGGCGGAGAGGGGCGGAGAGGGGAGAGGGTTGGGACGATGGGGGAAAGGGAAGGGGGTTAGTGCGAGGGGGAGAGGGGAGGGGGGTTAGTACGAGGGGAGGAGGGGAGGGGAGGTTAGGGGGGGAGGAGGGCGGAGAGGGGAGGGTTAGGACGATGGGGAAAGGAGGAGGGGGTTATGCGAGGGGAGGGGAGGGGGGAGTACGAGAGGGGAGGGTTAGTACGAGGGGAGGGGAGGGGGAGGGAAGGGTTAGGGAGATCCGGTGGAATGGGTGGAGGGAGGGAGGGTGGGAGGAAGGAGGGGGGTGCATGCTTGCTTGATTGCTTTCATGTTCTGATAAAGATAAGCGGGAGATCGTGTACGCTTGTGCTGGTCGTGTGTGTGTGTGTGTCTGTTTTGTGTCTTCTCTGTATGTCTGTCTGTGAGTGTCTGTAACCACGTACGTTATGTTGTTCCAAGATGATGAAGCGATTAACAGAGAGAGTGGGGGGGGGGGAAACAACAGCTTCTACCACTTCAATTACAACAACAATAACTACCTCTAGGACTGAATTAGATGTAAATGAGTTTTTTATCACACTTGGCTAGAGAGAGAGAGAGAGAGAGAGAGAGGAGAGAGAGAGAGAGAAGAGAGAGAGAGAGAGAGAGAGAGAAGAGAGAGAGAGGAGAGAGAGAGAGAGAGAGAGAGAGAGAGAGAGAGAGAGAGAGAGAGAGAATGAAAGAAATGAAAGAATGAAGAGAATGAAAAAGAGGGGGAGGTGTATGGCCGTTTAGTACAGTTCATGAGGCGAAGAATTTGCTTGAGAGGGAGAAAGAGAAAGAGAGAGAAAGAGATAAGGAGGGGAAATGAGACAGAACGAAAGAAAGCATACAGATACACGGACACACAAGTAGGTAAAGATAAAACGCTGCGAGTGCCACTGATCAGGGAAGGGGCACTAACTGTATACTTTAGGGGTGATGGCTGTCATAACAGTTTTCATCCTCCCCACTCCCCTTTTTCTTCCTTCTTCCCTTTCCCCATCTCCCCTTCTCCCCTTTTCCTCGTCTCCCCTTCTCTCCTTTCTTCATCTGCCCTTCTCCTCTTCTCTCTTCTCCCCTTTATCCTCTACCTACCCGTCTTACCCTCGAGTCCTCTCCTTTCTCCTCATCTCCACTCTACCCTTCTCTCCTTTCCCCTTTTCTTTCCTTTTCCTTTCTTCCCATCTCCCATTCTCTCTCTTCTCCTTTCTCCCCATCTCCCATTCTTTCCTTCCCTCCTTTCTCTCACTTTTTCCCCTTTTCCCTTTTTCCCCCTCCCCCTCTTTCACTCATCCCCCATTCCACCATCTTCCTCCCCACAGCAAGGTAGTATCCTCATAAACACCCAGTCATAATGTTTACCGCTGGTATCACCTGGTATTTTGCTGGTATTTACCCCCTTTACGTGCATTATGGGTATTAAGGTACCAGCGTCATGTTAAGGGCCACCATGGAGCTTTTTGTGTTTTGTGTTTGTTTGCTTTTTGTTTAGTTTTGTTTAGTTGTTTACTTTGAGCGTGCTTTCCCGCTTTCATTCGTTTTTTTTTTTTTTTTTTTTTTGGGGGGGAGGTATCCACGTGTGCCTTTTTTCTCTTTCTTTCGCTCTGTCTCTTCTTGTCTTGTCTTTTGCGTCTTGTTTGTTTTTCTCTTTTTTGTGTGTTTTTATTCTTATTCTTTTGTTTGGTGTTTATTTCGTTATTTGTCTTTCTTTGCTTTGTGTCTCTTCCTTTCTCCTCCTCTCTTCTTCCTTTTTGTCTCTTCCTCTTCCTTCCTTCCTCCCTCTACTCTCCTCTTCCTTCTCTCCTTTCTTCTCTTTTCCTTCCTTCTCTTTTCTTCCTTCTCCTCTCTTCTTCCTTCTCCACCTCTCCTCCCTTCTCCTCTCTTCTTCCTTCTCCTCCTCTCTTCTTCCTTCTCCTCCTCTCATCTTCCTTCTCCTCTTCTTTTCCTCTCCCTTCTTTTGCTTCGTATCCTCACTCTCCCTTGTCCCGCGAGGTCCTTCCTCCCCCTCGCGTCGAATCGGGTGGTGTTGTAGGACTCACAGCTCGACGTTTTCTGTCATAACGTTTGTCCTGTGATAAGCTCTGCGGTGCTGTGTATCCGGTTCCCTTTGAAGCGGAGGAGAAGAGACCGAAGCGACGGTGCTAAGGAACGAGTGATGTGCTTGCGTCGATATTTTCGTTCCATCTCATATTATCAGGGAAAAGTGTGGCGGCTTTTGTTTTGGAGGGACTCGTTGGGTGTGTTGTTCTTTTTGTTGTTGTTGTTGTTTTGTTATTGTCGTTGTGGTTGTTGTATTATCGTTGCTATCAATAGCGTAGTGTTATAATCATCATCACGTTTGTTGTTATTGTCATTGTTATTACGAAAGTGGTTTTGTGATCCCTCGAAAACGGCGGGGCGTGGTTTTATTGGGTCCTCTAATGAGCCCGTTTTGTGACGCGCTCCCAGTTAGGGAAGATGCCGGATGGTCCCCGCCCGCTCCGGCTTTACAGCTTGTATTAATTTGTTCACCATTACAGCCAATAAAGTAGTGATTGTATGCAAATTAGCGTGTTTAGTGTTATTGGCGAGAGGGGGGGGGAAGGGAGGCGGGAGGGGAAGGAGAGAGGGGCAGGGATGGAAAAAGGGCGGGGGATGGGAGGAGGAAAGGGAAGCTTGAGGCAAAGAAAGGGAAGCAAGGAAAGGGAGGGTTGGGAGAAAGGGGAGAGGAGGGAGGAAAGGCGAAGATCTCGCGTCCTCCTTTAAGGTGAGGGAGTGTCGGTTTTGGTATGCGCCTGAGGGGGGGGAGGGGGGCGATGGTGAGGATGATGGTAGGGGAGGTGGGGGTGGGGGAGAGTCAGCCAAGGAGTCAACTTTATTTATAATCCTTCCACAGATGTTCATTAATTATATGGTATTATAGGAAGACGTATTTATTATTGTGGTTGTTCTTACTGTTTTATTATGATCTTTACTATACTCTTTTACCGTTACATGTCAGTATTGCCCCTATTCTTTTCACCATCAATTTTGTTGTTATTAATATTAGTTATTGATAGTATTATAGAGTTGTTTGTTGTTCTTTCTTTCTTGTTATTATTTTATATATATTATTATTATTATTATTATTATTGTTATTATTATCATTACTATTATTGCTTTTATTATTAATATGATGATGATGATGATGATGATCCTAATGTCATTCACGTCACCATCATCACCACCATGACGATTTCATCCTGCGTTTCCTACCCGTTCTCTAACCCCCCCCCTCCTTCCCCCGCAGCTCGTGGTCCGAGGAAGGGTGCCGCGTCCTGCGCTACAACACGAGCCACACGGTGTGCCAGTGCGACCACCTGACCAACTTCGCCGTGCTCATGGACGTGCACGCGACGCCCCTGGCCTACCCGCACCACCTGGCCCTCTCCATCATCACCTACGTCGGCTGCGTCATCTCCATCGTGTGCCTGCTCCTCGCCACCATCGTGTTCCATGCCTTTAGGGGCCTGAAGGTGAGGGCGTGGTCTGTGCGTCTTTTCGTTCTCTTTCTGTCTTTCTGCATCTCTGTTTCTCTCTCTTTATTTCTTTCTGCATCTCTCTCTCTCTCGCTCAGGAAGTAGAGAAGTAGAACAAGGATTACGAGGAAAGAGAGGGAGAAGGGAAGGAGATTCATGGCTAGAGAGAGAGAGAGAGAGAGAGACAGACAGACAGACAGACACAGACAGAGAGAGAGAGAGAGAGAGAAAGAGAGATTGGTTAGTTGCTTAACGGACCAGGATTTCCTCGGCTCTTGGGCACGGGGACTGGATTTGGAGGATATGAACAGATTTCTCTCCGTGTGAGCATATGTTCGTACATTCTACATTCCAAATCCAACCCAATCCACTAACGCCCCCCCCCTCCCCTCTCTCCCCCGCCCCCCAGAGCGACCGGACGACCATCCACAAGAACCTGTGCGTGTGCCTCCTGATTGCCGAGACGGTGTTCCTGGCGGGCGTGAACCAGACGGACAAGCCGGTGGTCTGCGGCGTCGTGGCGGGCCTCCTGCACTTCTTCTTCCTCGCCGCCTTCGCCTGGATGTTCATGGAAGGTGGGGGCGCCCGTGCGAGGCTCTAGACTCAGACTCAAAGGATTTTTTTTTTTTTTTTTTTTTTTTTTTTTTTTTTTTTTTTTTTAGATGAAGGTGATGTGTTTTTCTTTCTTTTAAGATAACGATGACGTGTTTTTTTCTTCTTTTTTAAGTGTAAAGGTGACATGATATGAAGATATTTTTTGATGATAAAAGGATTTTATGGTCTAAAGATTTTTTTTTATGAAATAAAGGTGATATTATATAAAGATTTCTCTTTATGTAAAGATGATATTATATAAAGATATTTTTTAGATATAAAGATGATATGATATAAAGGTATTTTAATATAAAGATGATGGACGTTTTTATATAAAGGATATAAAGAAGAGGTAAATGAAATAAGGAATTTAAATATGAATTAAAGAAAATGTTTCACTAGTTGTGTTTTTTTTTTAGGAAGTGAATATTTATGGCGTTTGTCTCTATACTAATTTGATTTTTTAATTATTTTCTTGTATTACGTATATTTTCTTTGGCTATACTTCTTACCACCTCATCGCCATTATCATAAGTCAATATTTCCCTTATATTCCGTCCACGCGTTCTGATTCCATTTCCCCCTTTTTTATCTTTTTTTCTCCTTCTGGCGTCCCCCAGGCAGCTCATCATGGCCATCAAACAATATGTACTTTATCTTTCCTTCCACGCATACGGATTCTGTTTCTTCTCGCGTCCTAAGGTTTCCAGCTGTATCGACTTCCAGCTGTATAGATTCTGTTTCTTATTTTGGCATCTTAAGGGTTCCAGCTGTAGCGATTGTATTTCTCCTTCTCGCATCCCTAAGGTTTCCAGCTGTATTCTCGCGGCTTAAGGTTTCCAGCTGTATCCCTCTGGCATCCTAAGGTTTCCGTCTGTAAAGATCCTATTTCTCCTCGTGCCACAAGGTTTCCAGCTGTATTCGCGCGTCCCTAGGTTTCCAGCTGTAAAGATCCAATTTCTCCACAAGGTTTCCAGCTGTATCCTTCTCGCATCCTTTCCGTCTGTAAAGCACAAGGTTTCCAGCATCCTTCTCGCATCCCAAGGTTTCCAGCTGCAAGGATCCTATTTCTCCTCGTGCCAACAAGGTTTCCAGCTGCACTCTCGCGTCCGAGGGTTCCCCAGCCGCACCGATTCTACGCCTCCCTCTCGCCCCCCCCAGGTTTCCAGCTGTACGTGATGCTGGTGGAGGTGTTCGAGGCGGAGAAGTCGCGCGTCCGCTGGTACTACGGCGCCGCCTACGGGTTCCCGGCGGTGGTGGTGGCCGTGAGCGCCGTCATCGACCCCTTCAGCTACGGGACCAAGGACGCGTGCTGGCTCAGGGCGGACAACTACTTCATCTTCGCCTTCGTGGGGCCCGTCATCGCCGTCATCATTGTGAGTAGAGCGGGGTGGAGTGAGGGGGTTGTGGGGGGGAGTGGGGAGGAGGAGGAGGAGGGGGGGGGATGGGATGGGGGTTGGTTGGGGGGGAGGAGGAGGGGGTTGGGGTTGGGTTGGGGGAGGAGGAGGAGGGGGTTGGGGGTTGGGTTGGGAGGACGAGGGGTTGGGGGTTAGGTTTGGGGTTGGCGGGGGGGAGGAGGGTGGGGTGGGGAATGAAAGGGAAGGGGTGTGTTAGATGTACAGTACGTAGTCTTCATGAAAATTGAATGTTGCTTTGTCTGTCTCTTTCTCTCTTCATCCTCCCCTATCTTCCCCATTCTCCCCCTCCCATATCCTCCCTATCCCTACTCCCTTATCCCCCTTATCCTCCCCATACCTCCTCCCTCATCCTCCCGACACACCGACAGCCCGAGGCGACGAAAGCGTGACCAGGCCGACGAGGATGAGCTCCGACAGGGCCCTCGCTCTCGTGTTCTTCCCTTTTATCACATTTTTCCTCCTTTTTCATTCTTTCCTTGTTTAGGGAGGGACTGTGGGGAAGAACGAAGGCGTTGTTTTGTTAGTATGAAGGTTTTTGATTAGTCGTAGGTATGATTTTCTCTACCTCACTTCCCTCCATCCCTTCTATCCGTCACTTCCCTCCCTGGTTCCTTTCCTTACTTTCCCTTCACTTCCTCCCTCCTCCTTTCCCTCCTTCCTCCTTCTCCTTTCCCTTCCTCCCTCCTCCACTTCCCTCCCTTTCCTCCTTCACTTCCCTTCCATCCTCCACTTCCCTCCCTTCCCTCCTTCCCTCCTCCCTCCTCCCTTTTCCCTCTCCACTTCCCTCCCTTCCCTCCCACTTCCCTTCCATCCCCACTCCCTCCTTCCTCCTTCACTTCTCTCCCTTCCTTCCCTCCTTCACTTCCCTCCCTTCCTTCCATCCTCCTTCTCCACTCCTCCTCCTCCCTTTCCCTTCCTCCCACCTCCCCACTTCCTCCCTTCCCTCCTTCCCTCCTCCCCTCCCTTCCCTTCCTCCTCCACTTCCCTCCCTTCCCTCCCTTCCCCTCCTTCCCTCCTTCACTTCCCTCCCTCCCGTCCTCATATCCCCGCGAGTAGGAGAGCGCTCGTCATCAGCTCAACGGAAAAGCTCAGATTTCAAATCACCCAATTTTTTTTTTCTTTTCTTTTTTTTAATGTATGTTTTTCCGTTATAATGGATATGCTAATGACCTCTTTGTCAGAAGTGCAGCGAGCGATCAGGATCAACCGGCCTCGTTTAGTTGTTGTTGTTGTTGTGGTTGTTATTTTTTGGTTAGTTTTGTGGGTTCGGGAAAAAAGCAAAAAAAAAAAAGAAGTTCGTTTTAAAGAAATGTCTTTGAGGATGAACCGTGTGGATAGGGAGGTCAAGAGAGGTCGTGGGGTGGGGGTGGCAAGGGGTAGCGGCCAGAGAGGGATAGGGGAGGGGGTGGAAGGTAAGGGAAGAAGGGGTAGGATGAATTAAGGGAGCGGCGGAGGGATAGGGGTTGTGGTAGTAATGAATAGGGGAAGGAGTGGAGGGTAGGGTACTGGAAGGGAGAAACGGAGGTTGGGGGTAGGTAGGGAGGGGAAGGTGAGGGAGGAAGGAGGAGGTAGGGGATATGGGTAAATGAGAGGTGGGGTAAGGTAAAGAAAGGTTTTGGAGCAAGGCAGTGGATAGGAAGGGGATAAAGCAGGGAAAGAGAGGAATTGGGGGTAGAGGATGATGGAGAAGAGGTAGCAGTGTAGGAGAGGAGGAGTTGGAGAAAGGGTTAGAGTAGGGGAGCAAGAGGGGGAGGGGTTGAGGAAGGGGCAAGAGAGGGAGGGCAAGAGTAGCGGAGCAAGAGGGGGAGTTACGGAGGGGTCGGAGTATGGGAGTAAAAGGGGGAGTTAGGGGAGGGCAAAGGGGGAGTTGGGTGGGACAGGAGGGGAGTTGAAGGAGGGGCAAGAGTAGAGGGGAGTTTGGTAGTAGGGGCGCACGCGGGGTGCTTTGCTCTCGTGTTGTTCCATTATGCATGCCGGAGTGTTTGTTTATCTTGTTTTGTGGACGTCACGAGCCCATGCATAATTTAGCCGTTTTGTTTTGTATCTGTCGTCGAATTACAAAAAAAAATCGGGCAGCAAAGTAATGTGTGGATCGGTCTGAGGGAGAGAAGAGGGGGGAGGAGAGAGGGGGGAGGAGAGAGAGAGGAGGAGACAGACAGAGAGAGAGAGGGGGGAGACAGACAGAGGGAGAGAGAGAGGGGGGGAGAGAGAGAGGAGGAGACAGACAGGAGAGAGAGGGGGGGAGACAGACAGAGGGAGGAGAGGGGGGGGAGAGAGATAGGGGGAGACAGAACAGAGAGAGAGAGGGGGGAGACAGACAAGGAGAGAGGGGGAGACAGACAGAGAGAGAAGCAGGGAGAGGAGAGAGAGAGGAGGGGGGGGGGAGAAAAGAGAGAGAGAGAGAGAAGGGAGAAAGAGCTGTTGTGAATTAAAAAAAAATCAACAGTGAGCACATAACCCCTTTATGCAGACCTCTTCTTTTGCTTCATCTCTCACCTCCTGTTTCTCTTACTCTCTGTTTTCTCTTTCTCCTTCGTCGTCTCTGCCTCTTCGTATTGTGTATTGCCTTTTCTTCGCTTTCTTTTCCACTCTTTCGTCTTTTATTGTTCATTCTAACATTCCATCCTTGTCGTCCTTCAGCAAAGCGCGTTTTTATTGTCCTCTCCTTCTCTTCCTCTCCCTTCACTTTCCCTGCTCCCTTTCCCCTCCTCTTCTCCCCTTATCCGCGCGATCCTCCCCTTCCCTCCATCCCTTTCCATACTGTTACACTCTCCCTCCCTTCTGCCTTCCCTCCCCATTGCCCTCCTCCCTTCCCCTCCCATTGCCCCTCCTCCCTCCCCCTTCCCTTCCTCTCCTCATCGCCCCTCCTCCCCTTCGCCTCCCCATTGCCCCTCCTCCCCTTCCCTCCCCATTGCCCCTCCTCCCTTCCCTCCCATCGCCCTCCTCCCTCCCTCCCCCCCCCTCCTCCTCCCTCTCTCCCTCCCTCCCTCTCTCTCTTCCTCTTCCCGCTGACGGACAGGGTATCGTGTTTAATTTGCATAGTTCATTTCGCAGTTGCAAATTAACTCTGGAGCAGAAATCAGGTGTGGAAAATATCTAATCTACCAGCCGCTGGTGGACGGTACAGAAGCGCCTGTGTTCCTCTGTCTCCCTCTCTCTCTCTCTCCTCTTTCTCTCTCGCGTCTCACTTCTCTTATCGCTCCGTCTGCAGCATCACTCGTATCTTTTCTCTCTTCTCTCCTTTCTCATTTTTCATTTCTCTCTATTTTCTTCTCATTTCTGTCCTCTCCCTTTCCCTGTCCCCTCTCCTTCTTTTCCTTCATCCTCCTCCTACTCCCTTCCTCTTCCTCGTCATCATCCTCTCACTCCCCCCTTCCTCCCCTCACTTCCCTTCCCTCCCCCTCCTTCCTCCTCCTCCCTTCTTTCTCTCCCTCCCTCTCTTCGTCCTTCCCTCCTCCCTTCATTTCTCCTCTTCCTCCCTTCCTTTCTTCTCCTACTCCTCCGTCCTTTCCTCCACTCCGCCCTTCCTTTCTCCTCCTTCTCCCTCCTTTTCCTCCCTCCTCCTTCTTTCTCTCCTCCTCCTCCCTTCTTTCTCCTCCTCCTCCTCCTCCTTCTCTCCTCCTCCTCCTCCCTTCCTTTCTCTCCTCCTCTCCTCCTCCCTTCCTCCTCCTCCCCTTCCTTTCCTCCTCCTCCTCCTCCTCCCATTCTCCGGTCCATATTTCTCCTCCTCTCTCCCTAAGAGACCTCACTGTCATAGCATGTTACCTCACGCAACAAAGCCTCGCGGATCATCTGTTCGCCGTATCATAAGAACACAAAACCTTATCGACGAAATCACTACCCCCTCCCCTCACCCCCCCCCTTCTAGACAACGCCTGATTGACAACAGTGACACCATATCTGCCACCAACGTTCCCCGTATCTAATTACTTTGTTGTCAATCGCAGCTTGTTATCCTGTTAGCCCAGCCTCGCTTCTTGCTTAACGAGAGGGAGTAGGGAGAGGGAGGGGGAGGAGGGAGTGGGGGGGAGGAGAAAAAAGTGGAGAGGAAAGATGTAGGGAGAGAGTGGGAGAGAGAGAGAGAAAGTGAGTGGGTGGGTGGGTGTGTGTGTGAGTGAACGAGTGAATGAGTAAAGTAAGTAAGAAAATAAGTAAAAGAGTAAGAGTGAGAATGAGAGAGAGGGAGAGGGAGAGAGAAAGGGCAAGAGGAAAAGCACTCGCTGAAGGACAAACTGTTTCAACACCCCGTCTGGAAGCGGAATAGATGAATGATTTGATTGATATTGGCGTCCCTCGCCTTTCGCCGCCGGGGAGTGGGGGGAGGGGGGAGAAGGGGAAGGGCGCAGCGGTGGTGTTTGCAGGAATTGATCCTCCTGCTGACGGACGGACGGACAGGCATCGCCGGTCAGACGGTGGGATACGCGACGGCGAAGAGCGTGCTGTGAGGGAGCTCCAAGAGGGAAGGACAGGGAGGCTGGTAGATAGGATGATGGGACGAAAATCGGATTCATACACACAAACGGAAAGGCACACGTAGGCAAGCAGCACCCAGACACAGATATAAAGAGAGGTAGACAGACAGACAGACAGGCAGGCAGCCGGGCGGACGAGACAGGCCCAGCGCGCATCCGTCTCCCACTGGAGCGGCCTGCCTGTAAACACGGGCGGACAGGCGCCCTGAGCAAATTGGAATTCTGAAGATGGCCAATCAGCTATATAAACAAATCCAGCTCGCCCTCTCGATATGGAAGCTGGTTATCTCATGTGCCTTTGAAGCCTGTCGGGATGTATACGTGGGGGAGGCTTTTCCTCTCCCCTCGGGGCTTCAGTGCGCGAGGACGAAAGGAGAGGGGAAGGGGAAAGGGAGGGAGAGGAGGAGGAGGGAGGAGAGGGAGAGGGAGGAGGAGGAGGAGGGGGAGAGAGGGGAGGGATATAGGGAGGGAATAAGGAAGAACTGAACGGGGGAGGGTAAAAGGATAGGGTAGAAGGGGAGGGGCGTCCGAGATGTTCCTGTTCCCCTTCGCCCTTCTTCCCGTCCCTCCCTCCCTCCTCTCGTCGTCGTGGAAGGGCGCCTAAGGGAAGGAAGGGAAGAGGGCCGGGTCTCGAGTCTCCTCCGAAGGGATTGACGCGAGATTGCCTTTTAACGTGGAGACGACGCGGCTCACCGCTCGAGGGGCGCCGCGACTTCGGGCGACTTGGGGAGCGCCAGGCCTTAGATTTATTTATTTTTTGTGTCCTGACGAGGGCTGACGGCATGGGGGCGGCTGACAGCGCTTTGAAGAGAACTCAGACAACGCGGGGGCACGACGGCAAGAACGCGCTGACGATCAGGGCTGGCTGACAGATGGCTGTGCCCGTCAGCAGTCGCACCCTTGCCTCAGATAGTCCGGGAAGGGGGCGTTGGTGGGCGGGAGGAGTAGACCCCCTCCCCCTCCCCTCCCTTTTTTCGGCCGGGGAATGAGCAGGAAGGACTTTTAGGAGGTCGGGGTGAAGGGACGGTGATGGAGGGGGAGGGTAGGGGGAAGGGGAGGGGGAGGTTGGAAAGGGTATTGACTGGTTCGAAAGGCAAATGTTTGTGTTTGTAACTTCTTCGGCGTCTCTGCCGGTCAGGATTCCTCTGTCCGGTTCTTCAGCTGAGGTCTCCCCCTCTCTTCCAAGTCCTCCTCCTCCTCCTTCTCTTCTTTCTTCGTTTCCTCTTCATTTTTCGTTCCCTCTGCTAATTACTGTGCCCTTCCTCCTGTTCGTTTCCCCAGAGCCTACCCTCCTCTTCCACCATTTTCTCTCCCTCTCCTCCTTCCTGCTATTCCTCCCCCTCTTCTCATCCTTTCCTTTTCCCTCTCCTCCCCCCCTTCTTTCTCCTCCCACTCCTCCCCCCTCCTCTCCCCTCCCCCTCTTTCTTCTTCCTCCCCCTCCCCTTCCTCCTACTTCTTCCTCCTCCTCTCCTCTTCCTCCCTTTCCTCCTCCTCCTCCTCCTGCTCCCCTCGCTCCTTCCCGTCCACGGCTTCCCCTCGTCGCCGTCCTCCTCCTAGCGTGCCGAGCTTCCCTTACCCAATTATGGAACAACCTTTGATTGCATCAGAATTTAGGCTTTGGTTACGATGGGTAGATTTTTCCCCTCTTTTCCCCTTTTTTGTTCGCTCTCTCTCTCTCTCTCTCTCTCTCGCTCTTTCTTTTTTTTTCCCCTTTGGAGTACTACGCTCTCTCCCCCTTTGATGTAGTCTATTGCGTTTAGCCGTATTAATCAGCTCTTTGGAGATCAGGGTGGATCTTCTCTCTCTCTGTCTTTCTTTTTCTGTCTGTCTGTCTGTCTGTCTGTCTGTCTCTGGGTTTTGGGGTTGGTCTCCTTTTGCTCTTTCTCTGGTTCTCTGGTTCTCTTGCTTTCGCTTGCTATCTTTCTCTTCTCTTTTCTTTCTCTCTCTCTTTCTCTCTCTCTCTCTCTCTCTCTCTCTCTCTCTCTCTCTCTCTCTCTCTCTCTCTCTCTCTCTCTCTCTCTCTCTCTCTCTCTCTCTCTCTCTCTCCATTTCTCTTTCTGTTTCTCTTTCTCATTTTTTCACTGTTTCTCTTTCCCTTTGTCTGTCTGTCTCATTCTATCTCTGTCCTTCTCCTCTCCTCTTCTCCTCTTTACACTTCCCTCTCCCCCGTAACAACCCCCTTTCCCTCCCCCTCCCTCCCCCCCCTCCCCTTCCTCCCCCTCCTCCCTCTCCCTCCTCCTCCTCCCTCCCTCCTTCCCCTCTCCTCCCCTCCCCTCCTCCTCCTCTCCTCCTCCTCCCTCCCCTCCTCCCTCTCCTCCCCCCTCTCCCCTCCCCCTCCCCCCCCTGCCTTTGTTCCCGAGATGAAGCATGGCGCCCCCTGCCGACGCTGATAGAATTCCTTCGATATGCAGATCAGTGTTTGGACACCTGATCAACCATTTACCCGACGAAGCACAACTTTATACAAAATTTAGATGAGCTCTTCGATACCTGTAGCCTGCCTAACAACCCCCTCCCCTCCTCCCCTCTCCTCCTCCTCTCTCCTCTTCCTCTTTCCTTTTCCCTTCTCTTCCTTCCTTCTTCCCTTCCCTCCTCTCTGTCTCGTTTCTGTCTCTTTCCCTTTTCCTGTCTCTCCACCATGTTTTTTTTTTTTCTTTTCTGGTTATCTTTATTATTTCTTTTTCTCCCTCCTTTCGTTTTTTTTTATTTTTCTCACATTTTCTCTTCCTTTTCTGTTTTTCTTCTAATCCTCCTCCATATCTTTCCCTCTTCTCTGCCTTGCTTCTCTTCCTCTTTGCAATTCTTATCTCTTCTCCCTCTTCCCCTCTCCCTCTCCCCATTTCTCTTCTCGTCTTCCATTTACCCCTCTTCTTCTCCCTTCCCCTTCCATTTTCCCCTTTCTTTCTCCCTTCCTTCCCCTTCTTCCCCTTCCTCCCTTCCTTTCCTTCTTCCCCTCTCCTCCCTTCCTTTCCCTTCCATTTTCTCCTCTCCTCCTTTCTCCTTCTCTTATTTCCCCTTCTTCCCCTCTCCTTCCTGTCCGTCAACAAGCAAGAAATCTTTCTTGATGGTTCCCGATAATTAATATTTCCTTCATTGAGCGTTTTTTTTTTTTTTCGTTTTATTTTTTATTTTTAAAATTCCGATATTTTATTGATTTGTTGTATTTTTCTACTTGGTTTTTCTTTCGTTTTTATTGGTAGTCTGACAAAGAAAAAGTTTTATTTCGTATATTCTGTTTTTTATTCTTTATTTTTATTTTTATTATTTTTTTATTATCTCTCAGTTGAACTTTACTCTCTATTTTTGTTTAATTATTGTCTTTTTTATTATTTATTATTTATTTTATTATTTTATTTTATTATTTTTTATTATCACTTTATTATCATTTTTGTTTGATTATTGTCTCAATTTTTTATTTTCAATTATTGTCTTTTTTTTTTTTATTTATTTTTTAATTATTTCAAGATAAACTTCATTTATATCCCTGTATTTATCAAAATCTTTGAAAAATGGGCTCCTTTTTTCTCATATTTTTTCGAATGGTTGCCTCCCAGTCACCCTCCTTTATTTCCGTGAAGTTCTATCGATATCAAACTTCTCGAATGTCGCAGTTGCTGCTTGTTATATGGGGTGGCACTTTCTTATGCCTGCTCCTCCTCTCCCTCCTCCCTTCCTCCTCCTCCCTCCTCCTCCCTCCTCCTCCCTTCTTCTCCTCCTCCTCCTCCTCCATCTCCTCCCTTCCTCTCCTCCTCCTCCTCCTCCTCCTCCTCCTCTCTCCTCTCTCCTCCTCCTCCTCCTCCTCCTCCTCCTCCCCTCCTCCTTCTTCCTCCTCCTCCTCCTCCTCCTTCTTCCTCCTCCTCCCTTCTTCCTCTCCTCCTCCTTCCCCTCCCTTCCTCTCCTCCTCCTTCTCCCTTCCTCCTCCTCCTCCCTCCCTTTCTTCTTCTTTCTCTTCCTCCTCCCCTTCCTCCCTCCTCCTCTCTCCCTCCCTCCCTCTTCCTCCTTCCTCCTCCCTCTCTCCTCCTCCTCCTCCTCCTCCTTCCTCCCCTCTCCTCTCTCCTCCTCTCCTCCTCCTCCTCCTCCCTCCTCCTCCTCCTCCTCCTTCCTCTCCCCCACGTGTTACATGTTGTTTTGTGTTGTGTGTCTCGGAAACTTTGGCCTCCGCTGCAAACTTATCTTGTTAGCAGTCTCGAAAGACGCAGGTTATATATGTTTTCAACGCGTTTGATTGCTAAGATTCTCCTTTTTTGTTGTTGTTGTCATGATCGGGGGTGGGGGTGGGGGTGGTGGGGGTAGGAGGGTAATGGGATGGGGAGAGGGGGGTGGGATTTAGATCAATAGGGGTAAAATGTCAGTGGATCTTTCTCTTTCTGTTTTTATCTTTATTTTTATCTTGTTTCCTCTGCCCCCTCCTTTTCTCCCTTTCTCCCTTCTTCCTTCCCTTTTCCTCCCTACATTTCCCTCACTCCCTCCTTTTCCTCTTTCCTCCCTTCCCTCCCTCCAATTCCCCTTCACTCACACATCCTGCAGTTCTTATTCCATCCTCTCCCCCCCCCCCCCACCCCTGGATACCACCACTAGGATCCCTCCCCCCCCCCTTCCCGGCTGCTAGTCCGTTTGCCGCCATTCGTATGCCGTGGGCGTGGGGGCGTACCTTCCGCCCGCCCGTGACCCCCGCCGCCTGGTCCAAGATAATCATTTGGTTTCCGCGGATTTTCGACTTGGTTCGGGAGGTTAATGGTGGGGTGGTTCGGTGGGTGGGGTTTGGGGCGGGGTTTGAGGAGAAAGGGTGGGGCGTAAGGGTTTGGGGGTGGGGTTTGAGGATTAGGGGCGGGGTTGAGGAGAGGAAGGAGGGAGGAGAGAAAAGAGGGAAGGAGGAAGGGAACGTAGGAAGAAAGTCGGGAATTGGGATAAAGAGGAGAGGAAGGGGAAGAAAGTGGAAGCAAAGGTGACAAATAAAATCGGGAAGGGGAGGGAGGGAGGAGTGGAGGGAAGGACAATAGAGTGGGTTAGCATTATATTTCTTTTTTTCTCCTCTCTCCTTCCCTCTCGTTGATCGACACTATCTCTTATTTAAAAAGTATGTGATACACTTCAAAATGTTCTCTTTTAATTGGTAAAAAATGACGTCACAAAAAAAAATCATTCTTGACATCACTTTTCCATGACGATATTATTTTCCTTCTCTTTTTTTGTCTTCTTTATCTTCCCCCATTTTTATCGAAGCGACGTGTGTTTTAATTTCCATTTATTCTCTTCCCTTTTTCAGGCCAACTCCATTTTCCTGACGATGTCGCTGTTCATCATGTGCCGCCACGCCAACCTCTCCGCCTCCGTCAAGAACAAGGAACACACCAAGTTGGCCTCCGTCAGGTAGGTGTTGGAGGAGGAGGAGGAGGAGGAGGAAGGAGGAGGAGGAAGGAAGGAGGAAGGGAGGAGGAGGAGGAAGGAGGAGGAAGGAGGAGAAGGAAGGAAGGAGGAGAGGAGGAAGAAGAATAGGAGAGAATGAGGAAGGAGGAGAAAGGAGGAAAAGGAGGAGGAGGAGAAGGAGGAGAAGAAGAAGGAAGATAGGAGAGGAGGTGGGAGGGAAGAATATGAAAGTAAGGGAGGGCGAGAAAATTAAGAGGAAAAAGACAGAATGCATATAATGAGCAAGGGGAAAAAATAGAAGGAATGTATGCAAAGATGAAAAAGGAGAAAAGGGAAGATAAGAAATAATAAAAGGAACAAGAATTTTTCATCTTAAAAAGGCCTCCTGAGAGAGTGTAGTTTCAGAGTGCAAGTAGTAGGCCTAAGACATTTTTTTTCACCCCATGTAGGCTGTTTATGTAGCCGGCCTAACAAGTAGTAGCCGTAGAGAGTAAGCAGACCCCTTGGTAGTCCCTAAAAAAGAATTAACAATAACAGCAATAACGAAAACTAACATCTTCCCGTAGTGATTTCTTAGGTGCATCACTTCTAGATGTAGTTCTTTAATCACCTAATTTTTTCATTATTTTACGTTCGTTTTTTTTTTCTTCATTTCTGATGGACTAACAGTAACGTATTAGCGAGTAAGTGCAACACAGTGTGGTGGGTTAGAGCCGCGCCCGGCAGTGGGCGAGGGTGGGCGGCTCCTTCACATACTAACCTGGTGTTTACCTCCGTCTCGACCCACCACCACGTCGCGCCCACCGCTGACTCTCCCGGTCTCCACCTTTCCGCTGGTCCTGTTCTGGCTGCTGCTGTGCCTGTCCCTGCTGCCGCGGTGGCCGATGCTGTCTGCCATGGTGGTTGTGTCGCTGGTCTTACTCGTTATGGTGTTGCTGGTGGTGATGATGATGGTAGTGGTGGAGAGGAGAGTGCGCTGCTCGACAAAATGCAGGCTCATGTGTAAGATTTTGTTTTCGTGTATATATATATTTTTTTTTCATTTCGTATAGTTCCTCGCCTGACCACGTGACTCTAGAATCGGCCTGCGGCTTGGGTCTCTCGAAAAATCCAATTTGTTGTTATTTACGGTTGACCAATTAAAAAGAAATGATGCCGATAATAAACCAGCAATGGAAAATTCGAATAAAACTACTTTCAAATACGTTGTTTAAGCCGTAAGACAGACGGCGGTTTGAGAGACAGGGCGGAAGGCAGATTGTAGGCGAGGCGTGGGCGTGAAGGAAGCACCGTCTTGAGAGAGAGTCGCACTCGCCTTCTGCAGGAGCTGCTGGCGGAGGAGGAGGAGGAGGAGGAGGAGGAGCAGGTGGTGGTGGTGGAGGGGCTTGTGTATCCCTGCGTGGCTTGGCCTTTTTTTCTCTTTCCTTTCCTTTTCTTCATTTTTTTTTATCCTATTCGTCATCTTCATCGCCTTTTCCTTCTAATTCTCGCGTGCATGGGTGATTTCGGTCTCGCTTCACTTCGCTAGGTTCAGAACCTTGACGCTTTGCACCTTCCCGATGGCACTGACTAACACGTAGCGCTTGTTTGTTTGTTTGTTTGTTTGGTGAGTCACGTGGCACTATTGCTAGTACACAGGGGCTTCGGGTTTCTCTTCTGGCGCCGGAGGAAGGGGAACGATCGCTTTCTGACGAGTGGGTCGACGGGAAAGGAGGGACAGAAACAAGAGACAAGAGGCAAAAGATGAAGAGAGAGATAGAGAGATAAAATGCGTCGATGTGTGTATGAGAGCGAGAAAAAAAATAGAAGAAGGGAGGGAGAGCAAGAGGAAAGGAGGATGCAAAAGTTTTTTTTTCATTCATTTTCATACATAGATTCAGTAAGTCTCATTAAAGGTAAACTAATAAAAGAAGCATAGAAAGTCTGCTTTTATAATGACTGTTTTTTTTTGTGTGTATGTGGTGTTTTTGTTTTGTGGTGAATGGTGTGTTTGTGTCTGTGTGTGTGTGTGTGCGCGTATATCTGTGTGCATGCATATCTGTGTGCGTGTGCTCGTGCCTTTTCAGTGTAAATTACAGAGATAGATAAATAGATAGATAGGTAGATAGATAGATAGATAACGGGCGCATTGCACTTCTACAAGACTGTTGACTGTGATAGGAAGCTCCACCTCGGTCGTTGTCGAGGAAGATCCCTGGGAGGCGTCCGCAGTCCTGGAGCGAGAGAGGCTCTGCAGGTTGATCTGTTGCATACGAGGCGAGATGATGCTGAGAAATCTTGCTAAAGAGGGAAGAGGGAAGAGGGAAGAAGTCTATGTCAAGATCAAAGAAATAATGGAAAAAAATTTGAATTGGAAAAAAATAGATGTAAAAGAGGGAGCGGGTTTGACACGTGACACTGTCTGGGGCACTGGCTGGCACGCCGAGGGGGACTCAGATTGCCAGATTGCATTTTGTTGCAAAATTGCAGGTTGCTTGTTAACACCTGTAGTGCACAGAGGAGAGCATGACTGGATTTTTTATCTTGAAGAATTGAGATGATTGCAGGTTCTTGAATAGTTCGAATGGCCAGATATGCACATGAGGAAAATACACAAACGTACACGCACACACAAACACACGCACACACACACACGCACACACACACACGCACACACACACACGCACACTCACACACGCACACTCACACACACTCACTCTCACACACACTCACGCTCACACTTACACACACACACACACTCACACTCACACTCACACTCACAAACACTTAAACACACACACACACTCACACTCACACTCACAAACACTAAACACTCACTCACACTCACTCACACTCACTCACACTCAAACACCACACACACGCAGACGCACACACTAGAGTCAGTCAATCAGACGTCCATGTGTGCGCGTGATGTTATTCA